TTAATAGGTTGTCCTATTAGGACATCGATTCTAATAGGAGCATTAGTTTTCCATGCTTTATGTATGCTTTAGATTTATTAGTTACTCTTTTTGGATCGGAGAATGCATTTGACGGTTGGTTTACAAGACTTTGTAAATAAATTATCCTTTGAACTTTAAGTTCACATTGTTTTGTGTGAGGATTAAGATGATATAAATATAAAGTATTTCACATAATTTTTTTTTCAATATTTCCAACTCGCTTATTCTATTTATTCTCTCTCTCTATAGTTAAAAAAATTATTTTATCAAAATGATAGTTGCCAAATCAAGTCGTGAAAAATTTCTCTTAATGGTTCAAGATATTTAATTACAAAGATGATTCATATCTAATATATATTCCCAATCTCCCCGAGGACCCATTGTAATTTGTTGTGGAGTAATTGAGACATATACTAGACATTTAAAAATCCTTAAATGAGAATTATTATGCTCATAACTAGAAACCAATTAAAGGGAAGATAACTTTTGATAACTTGTGGACCTAATACGAATAAGTGTTGCTGCATACAAAATTGCATGTCCCTAAATATAAACAAACATTTCTTTTCATGAGTAATGGTCTAGCTATCAATTGGAGGCTTTTGATAATGATTCTACTAAATCATTTTGAGTATAACCATGAACGAGTAAGTTATTCAACCTTTATTCCAATAGATATGGAATAATCATTAAATGTTTGAGAGATAAATTTACTTGCATTGACATGGTGAATTGTTTTAATGATAAAATCTTGAAATTATGCTCGTAATCAAATTACTTGAGCCGGTAATCTTAGAAATGTCAAGCATCGAGTTGATAATAACCATACATATGACTATCTTATGGATGCATCTATTAAAATTATAAAATATCTAAATAGTTCACATGGTAGATGAATTGATCCACATATATCAACTTTAATACGTTCTAAAAATGCAAAAGAGTCATTTCCATTTTATTTGATAATGGTTTAATAATAAGTTTGCCTTGAGAATATACAGGACATGAAAACTCATTAGATTGAAGAATCTCCTAGTTCTTTAATGGATTCCTATATGAATTTTCAATAACTGGTCACATCATAATGAATCTAGGATGACCCAACTGGTCATGCCACATAATAAAAGAATTAGGAAACTTTTGGTTTACTATAACATTTGTTTCAATTATTTGAATATTTATGTAATAAATACCAAAGGAGAAAATGGGTAATTTTTTTAATATATATTTTCTATCCAATGTATTTTTTTTAATATATAAGTATTCAATACTCTCCATGTTTGTTGTCTCGATATGAGATCCATTTAGATGAATATCTTTGAAATTCAATAAATTTTTATGGGACTTAGGAGAGAATAATGCATCATTTATAATCAAAATTTTCCTTCCAAGTAATAATATGTTTGTTCTTTTAAAGCTTTTAATTAAATTGATACTACCGGATATAATGTTAATATTAGCCTTGCCCATCATTAAATTGGAGAAATACTTTTTATTTTTAAGTATATTATACATTATTGCACTATCTACAAGGCATAGATTCTTCTCTATAATATTCAAACCAATTGTAAACTTGATAGTATCCATATATTGTTCATAAAAACAAAATAAATAAATAAATAAATATATATATATAACAAAAAAATTATAACTATTATGATGCAATAGAAATTATAAGAAAACATAAAACTTCTTTATTTATCAATAGAAAAGCTAACGGGATATTAATTTCAATCATTATCATTAATCTAATGATCTTTTCTTTTAGATTTTTTTTTTAAAAAAAATCAATAAAATTTAAATATGTCAAATTACTGAAACCATGAAGAGGAACATTGTCATAATCATTATTCTGATTTATAAAATTTTCCTTTATATTACTTTTTTTTTCAACGAGACTTGATAAAGCTCAACGACGTGCTTTAGCATATGACGAGTACGCGATCAATGTTTCTTCATACCACATCTATAGCATTCTTTTTCAAAATACTTACTTGACCTAATTTTTATCTTTTCTTTTTTTTCATAGTTTATTCATTTCTAATGGTGAGGTGTATTATTATAACTACCATGATTACAAAGATAGTTATTCGACCACAAATATAGATATTGCCACGACCACGTCCTAGTTCACGCCCAAAATTATTATAAGATGTCACATTTGCTTCGGGGAATCGAATAAACCCAATTGGGTGGGATTCATGATTTTTTTTTTAATCAATAGCTCGTTATTTTGTTTAGCCATAAGTAAGCATGAAATCAATTTAGAGTATCTCTTAAAACTTCTTTCTCGATATTATTGCTACAAGAGTATATTCGAGACATGAAAAGTAGAGAATGTTTTCTCTAATATATCCGCATTAGTAATATTTTCCCTATATAATTTTAGTTGAGAACTGATTCTAAATACTTGCGAATTAGACTTACTTACTATTTTGAAATCTTATAATCTTAGGTGCATCCAATTGTAATGAGCTTTTGGAAGAATTACCATCTTTTGGTGGTTTTACTTTTTTCTCTAATTTTTTTTCACGAGTTTAAGTGGATCTTTTATTGTTAAATATTCGGTTTTTTAATCCTCATGGAGATGATGACGAAGGAAGATCATTTCCTTAGCATATTTTTACGGGGATTTTTAATTATCATCCATGATTTTTTGTCTAAAACCATAAGCATTTAAATGTATCTTAATGTCAAGTACCCATGATAAATAATTCTTGCCCAAAACGTCAAAGGCCACAAAATCAAGTTTTGTGAGGTTTGACGTGATAAAAATTCTATAATACAAAATATAATAATAATGTTATAAAATAAGAACAAACATAATAATACAATTCAAACTTTTCAAACAACTTACATTAGATCATTCAAGTTTTTTAAAAATATGCTATACATATAATTAGATTTAAAGTACAAGAAAATTAGATACATATCTTGTAATAGGCTAGATGATTTGCATTTTTTGGTAAAGCAATCGTGCTGATAATGTGTTGAAAATATAATAATAATTGCAAAAGATTGTTACGATAATGGTAAATACGATAGGGGAAAAGATGATAGAAAAATAATTTCACTATGACATAAAAAGAATATAATAGATAACGACTCTAAACAATTCTCTCAATCTCTACAAAATACTTCAAAATTACATTGAATGGTGAGACTATGAACAATTAAAAGTACATAAATTATTGAATCAATTGAATCATCTTTTCAATTTCTCACATTGAATGGTGAATTGAATCAAATTAAGAATTATGAGTAGTTAGGATATGAAAAGCATATAAACATTCATTATTTCATAACAAATTTGATATTTTTTTCATATTTTTTTAATATTTTCAACATCAACATATCAAACTTATTCAAAAACAAATTAAGTATTTTTTTTCTCAAACCAAACATACTTTAAATAACAATTTAAAAAAGATACAAACACATTATCAAGCACAACCTCTTCGTACAAGCTAAATAATAGTTTATAAGTTACAAGCTTATTGAAGAGGACATGCCCACAAAGTCTAGTTATTGAACTATTGCTATACCAAGTGCATTTTCTATTAAAAATAGCTGAATCAACTAAAAATAAGACAAAGAGAGAAAGACAACATAGAAAATTGCAATTTAAATTTACAACTTTTGACTTTTATTTTATTTGATTATCAAAATTTTAATTTTATTTATATAAGCGTTCAAATCTTGACTTTTTTTTTTAAATTTGAATTTCTTTAATTTTTTGAGACTAGAAAATATTGATGTTCGGAATAAATTGTCATGTAGTAATTTTTAACTAACACATACAAAAAAGTAACTCCTACATGAATTATTCAAAAAAAAAAATCGAAAGTTTTTTTGAAAAAATTACAAATTGAGTGTCCGATATATGATTTTATCTATTTGAGTGTTTAGTGTTTGGTTTTTTTTTTTTTTTTTAATGTTTTTTATTTGAGCCCCTTTAGTTTTTTGAGATTAGAAAATGCTAATATGGTCGGGATCCACTAACACTATAAGAAAAGCTGAAATAGATACAAAAATTAACGATAGATTGTTATCTCTCGCTAAATAATGATAGATTAGCGAATGAACTACGATCGTTATTGAGGTCCGGACCTCGGCTACGGAACACTAACGGATTAGTGATGAATTTTCAACAAGGGACGTATATCTCGTTGCTATATTTGGTAGTTAAATGTTTACGAGTATTTTAGAGATGATTTAGCGAGGAAATTATGAGGGAAATCAACGAGTAGACTCTTGATCTCGTTGTTATTTTCTATACTTAGGGTTATTGTTGAAATTTTCATCGCTAATTGCACATTTTCCTCATAAATTAGCGGTAGAATGTCCATCGCTAATATTAAAAAATAAGCGAGACTTTGGTAATTTAAATTCCGCTAGATCGGAGATGGATTAGCAAAGCACACTTATGTCCATCCCTAATTAGCAACGGACTAGCGATCGAATCGATTCTATCACTAATTCTAAATTCTTAAATCACAATTTTCCTTTTTTCTTCTCTCATTTTCTTCTTCCTCCGATTTTCTCCTCCACCTACTACCGCCATCCCCACCCAAAACCACCATAAAACCTCGCTCCTTCACTCCTCGGGAACCCCTATCCACTCCAAACTATTTACTATCTAAAAGCCCTAAATTTTCTCCTTCCTCTTCGTCTTTTCCTTGTTCGTATGAAGCTATGTTCTCTCTCTCTTGTTTTTTTTAAAAAAGTTGTTATTTTTAATAATTGTTAGGTTAATTTTGATTAATTGGTTGAATTTTAAATTTATTTATATTTAATTATTAATTGATTAGGTTAATTTGTTAATTAATTGGTATTTGAATTAATTAGGTTAGTTAGATTTGAATTAGGGTTAATTTACTTAGGTTACTTTGAATTAGAGTTAAATTAATTTGATTAATTTGATTTAGAATTAAATTGGTTAGGTTAATTTGTTAATTAATGGTCTTGTCTTTGATCCAATGGAGACTGAATTGCAGAAAAGCCACCAAGGAGGAGGACTGAAGAGACTGAGATGGTCAGTTCAAAACATGATTGGGGTAAAAAAGGGATAGAGGGGTCTGAGGTTGCAAGGTTGTATGAATTGAATTCTAGGTCTGATAAAGAATTGGAAAAGAAAAAGCCTTTTGCTGATTTTTGGATGGGTACACATGGTTCTGGGCCTTCTTTTGTGGTGGAAAGTGGTGTGGAGAATGGGGACTCGATTGGATCTAGGAGTTTGAGTTTGAAAGAATGGATTACTTAACGTTAACCTTTTCGTCCATCTTTATGAAAGAATTTTGTTAGTTTTACCTCATATCATTAGTTGACTTATCGTTAACTACTCAGGTGCTGTTATGTGGCAAGTAAATAATTTTTTAATTTAAAAAATAATAAAAAATAAATATTTTTAATTTTGATTTTGATTTTCCCCTTTTATTACAGATAATGGTTATAACGGGTTTGATTTTTTTTCTTTTTCCTTTTTATTATAAATAATCATGATTGATTTTTTTTTAATTTTGATTTTTTTTTCAATTTTATTACAAATAATTGGTTATAGTAGATTTGATTTTTTTTCCTTTTTATTACAAATAATCATGATTGATTATTTTTATTTTTATATTCTTTAATTTCAAATTTTATTTATTTTCATTTTATTGTAAATAATTGTTTACGGGGTTGGTTTGAATTAGGCTTTTCCTTTTGTCCTTTTGTGTGGAGAAATTGATTGTTGGTTGATGTTGGGCATTTTAGATATGTTGAATTTTGTGCAGGTGATGTCTCTAGTAATATGGAAATATCCAATTTATAAGGAAGACTATACTTGAATTTTTGTTTGTTTTCTATGAAAATAATTTATAACATATTCGGTTGAATTTTTATTAATCTGTTGTATTTGTTAAATTGTTTTAGATGTTATTCTAGAGCTATACCTTGTGAATTGGACGGATCTAATCGCGGTAGCAATAGTCGTGGTTCGATGGCGACAATACCCATGGTCATGGCATTGATGTAGGTAGTGTTTGTGATCGTGCCACCGATTGTGGCAATGTATGTAGCCGTGGGGGGGGGGGTATGGACTTGATAGTGGTATCGGAATGTATGCATCTCTACTATTAATGCCCCCTCGGGTAATGCCTTTGCCAATAATGCCCCATACCAAAATAGTGCCTCCGGTTGCGGAGGCCTTGTCATAACCCAAAATTTGGGCTGTATATTTTTCACTAATTTTATCCCATTTAGATTTTATTTTGATAATTTATTTATTTATTTTATCTTTATTTATTTATTTATTTTATTTATTTAATTTGACTATTTATTATAAAAAAGAAGAAGAAAAGGAATAATATATATATGCCTAGTCAAGACAAACAACTTGTTAGTTCGTTTTGAATTGCGTCTCGAAGATTTAATCCTAATTAAGTGTCTTATTAATTCGAATTTAGTATTACAAAGTGGGATCTTAAAAAATCTCATCTCTTAATTATATAAGATGGAGGCGCAATCAAGTGCTAGATGGAGTCCAGCCAAAGTGGGACTTCAACTAATTTTAGGCGTACCTTTTTATATCTTGTGCATGCTCCCACTAAAACAAGCTTTTGATGCTTTAACGAATTCAAGTTGCTATATTTGATTCTATGGGCCTTCAGCATTCAGAAAACCATGCGTGGTTTTTCCTTTCTTGGAAGAAAGATCATGAACTACAATATCCCACTTGCTAATTGAACTATTGGGCAATGGGCCATTGACTTTTGTCTTCCTCACTTTCTGAATGCATATATAAGATCGGGAGCTTATCACATGAGCTAATAATAAGTAGCAGTGCTAAAAATAATCGGTGAGAATTGAGCCATGAAGCCTTTCTACTTATGTTGCTTTATCCTACCTTTGCTTTTCTTGATCTCCTCAGGTACTAATAATCTTGTCAATTTAATCTATCAAATTAACTTATCTTAAATATAGTTATTTATATTTCTAATGTTTTTTTTTTCAGTGCATATGAAAATATCTATAAAAAAAAATAACAAAAATAGTACTTTACCAATTGAGTTATAAGCAAGGCTACTCTCTTTCTCACATTTGGCATAAAACAAAAATAGATCTCTATTTTATTTTATTTTTTAGAATAACGTACATTACCGATTGAGTTACTAACCAGCCATGCACATACTAAAATAATAGTTTGAAAAAAGAAAAGGAAGCATACGATATTTACCTAGTTAGACTAATTCATATAATATGAAATACCATTTTCTTGCTATATGACTATTATAAAGTTTGTTTTTTGCTTCTCAATTTTGCTGGTAAAAACAGTGGAAATGATGGAAGTGATAAGAGACAATAACAAAAGGTGTGCTGCAGTGATGGACCTAGACGGATGCAATCTCTCATCTTGCAGGCAACGCTGTCTTCAACAGAAGAATGGAAATGGTGTTTGTTTGGCCAATCTGAAAGAGGGCACTTACCAATGTGTTTGTTATATAAATTGTTAATCAACCTGCTTCTGCTTGCTTGGAAGAAAGACAGTTCCTAAAGTTCGAACGGGTCTTCAAGAGATCTTTTAAATAATTATCTGTGCATATATATATATATATATATATATATATATATATATATATATATATATATATATATATCACTAACGTTTGCATAATAAGCTTTTTCATAAGCTAGTGTTTTACAAATGTTTTGTTGCATTTCAATGTCTTAGAGAATTGTATTGTCATCGTACCACAATTGTATTCTTGCTAAGAGAAACATGGTTTTGAATTCAAGTCTCGCATGGATCAATCAATTGCCAATGAAATAAATAAATAACAACAACAGAATTTTTTTCATAACAAAGAATTTTTGCAAATAAGCTTAATGACATATCAAAAACTTAAATATCATTATATCAACAACGATCGTAAATAATCCCAAAAGGTTGGCTTAGTAGTTAATAACATTTTTTTTTTTAAGTTCAAACTTTTAAGTTAACACCTTGTGTAATTTATTAAATTCTTCCGAATAGATTGAATTCATATAAAAGATGAACCTTTAAAATCATTAAAAGAAGAACTTTGTCTCGATTGATGTGCATCGGAATACTTTACTTGTTGAAAAAAAAATATTTAACCATCCTTCATCAATCATGGTGTCAATTAGTGTTATCAAATATTTTACTAGAAAAAAAAAACTATTTATATACTCTTTGTTACACGACGACATTGGGAGGCGATGGTTAAAGAATAGGGTATGGGAAAAAAATAGTCACCACCTAGTGTTAAGGTCACTATTAAAACATATGTCTAGTCTATTTTGAGTTTTAGGTAAGGGATTGGTTATATATAAGAAAGATTAAAAATCACCATACCCCATCCTCATTAAAGAAAACTATATTGCATACAAATCTTAACTTAATTTTTGATTTTTAATATGATAAAAATCTATGCCTATTCATTATTTTTTAGTTAGACGAGTGATTTAGGACTTGGTTGGCACTATAAAAGAAGAAGAAGAATAAGCAAAATAGCGATAGAAATGAGTGACGAGACATGAAGTTGTCGACAAACAACGATGGATTAGCGAATGAGTAACGATCGTTATCAATCATCAATATTTTGAGCTAATACCGATGGACTATTGACTAATTAATGAAAAATATTCAATGATGGAGCACTTCTATCATTAAATTAAGCGAGTGAATTTTTGGTAGTTTATTCGATGACGTAATACCAACTAAGTTGTGACGGATGGTTTCGTCTATCGTTAATTTTGGGTTGCATTTGGGTAGACAATTTAACAAAAAAAAAATCAGTAATGAACACATATCTTTAGCTATGAAATAGTATATGTCGTTGATTGTAGGAAAAATTAGCATAATTTCAAAAATCTAACAACAAAGAACATTTATTATTAGCGATGGAATCATGTTCGTCATTAAAAATGATACCTAAAACTAACGAGACCATACTTTTTTTCTAGTTTTCCTCTTCTCCTCCATCCTTAAGCTATCGTTACCGCTCTTCATTGTCGACACAAACCGGCCGATTGACCACTCCATCCTCGCTCCTATTATTGACAACTTCTTTCTCCCCAAAAAAGGTAAGTTTCTCTCCTTTTCTTTTACTTATTTGATTTGTTATCAATTTTTATATATGTTGATTGTCACTAAATATTTTAGAAAACTCAAATTTATGTTATCTAAAATTTAATTGAGTATGTTTTTTCATTAGAATTGTTTTGAATTAAATAAGTTTGGTTGTTGATAAATTAGGTTTGGTTCTTATAGTTGATTAATGTTACAATGGTCAAGAAAATAAATTTTTTAATTTGATAATTAAGTTATTGAAAATAAAATAGGGTGTTAATTTTAAAATTAAGGTAGTGTTATTTTAAAATTAACATAATATAAGACTATTTGAGCTTAGGATTTTAAAATTGATAAATTATTTTTTGGTCAATTTTGTTTTATATAGATAAATATTTAGTAGTTGTATAAATTGTGATATTAATTATTCATATACAAATTGTTAATTGTTAGAAAGTATGTTAGAAAACTTGAATTATGTTTTTTTTATAGGAATTGTTTTGAATTAATTATGTTTGGTTACTTATAAATTGCGATAAAATTTTGAGTTTGTAATTTGTTATATAATTTATTGATGGATTCTTATTTATGTTGATATTTGGTAGATTTTAGTTTACATTGGTGTTATAATAATTAAAAATAAAGGTGTTGAATTTAATAATTAAGTTATTAGAAAGAAAATAGGGTGTTAAAATTAGGGTGTTATTTTAAAATTGACATAATATAAGATTATTTGAACTTAGGATTTTAAAATTGATAAATTATCTTTTGGTCAAATTTATTTGATATAGATAAATATTTAGCTATATGAATTGTGATATTAATTATTCATACAAAAATTTGTTCCAATTGGTCGGTTCCCGACTAGTAATCTGTAGCATTGTTAGTAGTCATTCCAACCACTCTAGTATCACCGGCATCCACGCTCTAGCCACCACGAGAACGTTTCAGCCGCTTCAACTCGTCAAGTAAGTTATCAAAACCCTAATTTGTTATTTATTTCATAGAATATTTTTTAGTTAATTATACCAAATGAAATTGAATTTATTTTATTGAGAATTGTTAAAGTGTGTCGAGATTTGTCGTAACGTATCGAACATGAGAGGTTGGAGACTCCTAATAACCGAGGAGAAATACGATGGTTTCAATGCTCTATGTTGGAGCTCGGAGGACATGGATTGGGTTTTAAT